GACTCTCAACACATGCATTCATTTTAAAATTTCGCAATTTGCATAATCACTGATAACATTCCTAAAATGATTTTTGTTACAAAAAAGTGCGCATTTTAAGGCTATATCGCGCGAGGGCAACTCGAGCTTTGCAGCTCTTCTGGTTCTCTAAATATGAGCCAAAGACTAAAAGCCGATTGCAAGGCCCGCTTTAATTTTGAAATTTTGCATTTTTCTCGAAATCAATGTTTTATATAAAAAAGTGAGCCTTTTAGGGCTCTATCTCTTATCGAGAAGTAGATCTTTGCAGCTCGTCCGGTTTTATAGATATGAACTAAAGGCTAAGAGCGGTTTGCAAAATCCGGTTTAATTTTGAATTTTTTGCATTTTTCTTGGCAACTAAACACATTTTTTGCTATGAACGATGTTTCATATAAAAACGTTTGCAGTTTCGCAAGGACAACTGGAGCTTTTTAGCTCTTCCWGTTYTCTACATACGMGCYAAAGACTAARTGCGGATTGAAAAACCCGCTTTCATTTTGAAATTTTGCATTTTCCTTGAAAAYTAAAAGCATTTTRAAAAAATGTKCTGTTTAAAAAAKTAGMGCTATTAATTAAGGMWCTATTAGAGCAACGCCATATAGAGCTTTGCWGCTCTTCCGGTTCTCTAAATATGAGCCAAAAGCTAAGAGCGGTTTGCAAAACCCGCTTTGGTTTTGAATTTTTGCATTTTCCTTGAAACCTAAAAACAGTTSGAAAACGGWTKTTTTATATAAAAWAKTGCAMMWTTKAMSGCTCTATCSRKCAATGMMAAYTAGAGCTTTGYRKCTCWWCCGGTTCKCTAAATATGAGCCAAAARCWAAGAGCGGTTTGCAAAACCCGYTTTGRTTTTGAATTTYTGCATTTTCCWTGAAACCTAAAAACTGTTCGAAAACGACKTTTTATRTAAAAAGATACMCATTTTCAGTCTTCATCTCGCAAGGGCAACGAGAGCTTTGCAGCTCTTCCGGTKCTCTAAATATCAGCGAAAGGCTAAGAGCGGTTTSCCAGACCCGCCTTAATTTTGAATTTTTGCATTTTMCTTSAAAMSTMAAAACAGTTCGAAAACGRTSTTTTAYATAAAAAAAWAKYGCAMMWTTGAMSGCTCTATCSRKCAATGSMAAKTARAGCCTTKYRKCTCWWCCGGTTCGCTAATCGCTAAATATGAGCCAAAAGCWAAGAGSGGTTTGCAAAACCSGYTTTGATTTTGAATTTYTGCATTTTCCWTGAAAMCTAAAAACAGTTKGAAAACGACGTTTTTATRTTTTATATAAAATAGTGCARMATTTACCGCTCTATCGATGCAATGMMAAYTAGAGCCTTKYRGCWCWWCCGGTTCTCTAAATATGAGCCAAAAGCTAAGAGCGGTTTGCAAAACSCGTTTTGATTTAGAATTTTTGCATTTTCYTTGAAAACTAAAAACCATTCGAAAACRAMYTTYTATATAAAAAGATACCCATTTTCAGTCTTCATCTCGCAAGGGCATCGAGAGCTTTGCAGCTCTTCCGGTTCTCTAAATATSAGCGAAARGCTAAGAGYGGTTTSCCAGACCCGCCTTAATTTTGAATTTTTRCATKTTCYYTGAAACYTAAAAACTGTTAGAAAACGACGTTTTATATAAAAACATATATATTTTCAGTCTTCATCTCGCAAGGGCAACRATAGCTTTGCAGCTCTTCCGGTGCTCTAAATATGAGCGAAAGSCTAAGAGCGATTTGCCAGACCCGYCTTAATTTTGAATTTTTGCATTTTCCTTGAAAACTAAAATCAGTTTGAAAACGATGTTTTATAYAAAATAGAGCGMATTTGAAGGCTCTATTCAAAGGCAGCTCTTCCGGTTCTCTAACTATGAGCCAAAAGCTAAGAGCGGTTTGCGAAACACGTTTTGATTTTGATTTTTTGCATTTTTCTTGAAATCTAAAAACTGTTCGGAAACGACGTTTTTATATTTTATATAAAAAGATACACATTTTCAGTATCCATCGCGCAAGGGTAACGATAGCTTTGCAGCCTTAAGGTTCCCTACATATGAGCCACAGGCTAAGAGCGTTTTGCCAGACCCGCTTTGATTTTCAAATTTTGCATTTTCCTTGAAAACTAAAAACAATTCAAAAACGACATTTTTTATAAAAAGATACGCATTTTCAGTCTCCATATCGCGAGGGCAACTAGAGCTTTGCAACTCTTCCGGTTCTTAACATATGAACCAAAAAAAAGCAAAGAACAGTTTGCAAGACCTGCTTTGATTTTGAATTTTTGCATTTCCCTTGAAAACTAAAAACAGTTCGAAAACGATGTTTTATATAAAAAGGTGTGCATTTTAAGTCTCCATCTCGTAAAGGCAATTAAAGCTTCGCAACTCAACGAGTTATGTGTCTTGAGGCGAAAATCTCACTGTTCCCGTCATTACATTTGAATGTTGTAGAACCTTCAAATGATTACCAGCTTTCCCCCACAAAACATTTAATTCGTATTATGGAGATTACAAGGAAAACCCAATCTGAATAAAAATTAATCGGTCTTGGACATTATTGCAATGTATTTCTTAAAAGATACAAATTTCCTCGGATCTATGGCTTGACAGCCCCTAGTTCATCTGCTCTTTCGTACGTTTGTTCTTATTTAATAACAAAAAATCAACCATATTTACACAAATCTACTCAGCGGCCTTCACTAAGGCTTCGGACACCTCAACGGCAATCTCAGCTTCAGCCTTGGCCTGTAAAACATTGAGATGAGCAACTGCAGCGTTTCCGGCCGACTCAACTTACTTGATCATTGGCAGCTGATGAGAGCTGACTTTGAGACTTGGTCAGCAATTCCCTGGCAGCGGAAGCATCAATGTTTTCTACTGGATGCGCCTCTTCTGCCAAAATCTATGTGAACACTCAGTTGAGTAACTTGAGCTGCTTACATTGAATAAATCACGAAGTACCTGTACTGAAGAGTCCTCGTTGATGGTGACTGTTCCACTGGAGACAAAGATCTTCTTCACATTGCCCTCGTTTTCATATACAGAAACAACTCCGGGCTTCAGCACTGCCAAAGTGGGAACATGTTTGGGCAGGATACCAAAACTGCCCGAGAACGAAGGAACATCCACTTGCCGCACACTTTTAGCTTCGTAGAATATCTGAAACAAACCGCAGATGAAAGCAAAGTAATACGAAGTGAAGACACCCCTGGACAACGTCGGTTAAGGCAAAAAAGATCAAGTGGAACTTGCCTGGTTTCCTGAGGCGAATGTAAAGCTCATTTCCTCAGCATAGCCCCTTTTGACTGTGGTGCTCAGAGCCCTGCTGGATAGGAGACGGGATACTGATCTCATTGCGGCCATTGTGAGGCTGGAAATTGAAGAAATCGCAGAATTTTGCAAAGGAAAATTGCTATATAACCTCAATGTTTACATTACATAACTTCAATGCATTAGATAAGCGGCAGCTTTGGGATAATGAGCCGCCTACTGATTGCTTGTCACTAGCTCTACTTACTCAGGTGAAAGTTAGAGTTTCCTAGCAGATGAAAATGGGCTGCAATTTGAGTTTTTCCTAGTTTCCAAACAGGAAAGTTCACTGAGTCCAAAAGGGTTGACAGATTTCGGCGACAGCCAGAAATGTCACTCTTTGAATCCAGATTGTTTCGATCGAGAGAGAGAGAGATAGATAGACTGCGCAGGTATTTGTAAGGATTTCCTACCATATTTTTAAACAGAAAATGCAGAAGCATTAGAATGTTTATGTTTAAACTGTTTTTCTGAATTTTTGCACTTAATTTTTAATCGAAATTGTAATTAATATTGTTTAGACATCGAAATTACGACGATTTTTCTGAGCATTTCATCACATTTTTCTCGGACACACAGGTTTTGCGAAAAACGGTCAAGAGGCAAAAATCATTCTAAACTAAATGCTTTATCTGGATCTATCGAATCTGGAGAACTCAGGCAAAGTTTTGCTGATTAAAAAAACCGGATACGTTGAAAGGGTGATTTTCGCATAGAAACGCGCACTTAATTAAATTTTATGTGGCCAATTTTGTTGCGTTTATTCCCGCACAATCCGTATATCTTCAGAAATAAATATTTTTAAAGATTTAAAAAATATCAGAAGCATTCAATTTATCCTTTACAAGGCGTGCTATTTAATGCACTTGATGATATTTAACATTTTTTCGAAAACAGTGCTTTTAACAAAAAACTTTGCACAATCAAGAAATATTCTGGATTTAATGGGTTTTTGAAAAAACTATCGCTTTTGTAAAAAGAAAAAAGACGCAGTTAAAGTTTTGCGGTCTCAAAGGCTGAAGTCTCTAAAACGAGTTCTTCGTTAATAACGAAACACTTATTTTGTTACATTTATTTCCCTGTAAGATTTTTATAGCATCAAAAATAGACCAAAGCATTCAATTGTATCTTTAGAGCAAACGCTCGCCGCAAAGGACTTTTTTCATTTTTGCACTTCTTTAAGAACATTTGATGATATTTTAACACTTTTCTCGAAAAAAGTGCGTCTAGCGAAAAACTCCCAAGAGGCAAAAAACACTGACTGAGGAGTCCAAAAGACTATCGTTTTTTGAATCGGAAAAACACAGTCAAAGTTTCGCGGTCTCAAAGTGTCTTTCACAAATGCTTCTCGTGAAACGAAGCACTGCATAAAACAGTGCGCCCAATTTTGTAGCATTTATTTTGCTACTCGGCATATCTTTGAATGTAAAGATTTTAAGAGCCTCAAAAGCGGCTAAAATCATTCAATTGCTCCGTATGAGCAAACGCCCTCTGCCTAAGTCCAAAGCGTGGATTTGTCTGTATCTTTTTTTATGAAAATTTTAACAATTGTCTAGAAAACAGTGCGTCTAGCAAAAATCTTCCACGAGGCAAAAAACACTCTAAACTAACTGAGTAGTCCGAAAGACTATCGTTTTTTAAATCGGAAAAACACAGTCAAAGTTTTGCGGTCTCAAAATGTGTTACACAAATGCTTCGCGTGAAACGAAGCACTGCATAAAACTGTGCGCCCAATTTTGTAGCATTTATTTTCCGACTCTGCATATCTTGAAATGTAAAGATTTCAAGAGCCTCAAAGGCGGCTAAAATCATTCAACTGCTCCTTATGAGCAAAAGTCCTCTGCGTAAGTCCAAGGCGTCGATTTGTCAGCACTTTTTTTATGAACATTTTATCAATTTTCTCGAAAACAGTGCGTTTAGCAAAATGGATGTTTTAAGCCGGAAAACACCGTCGAAGTTTTGCGGCCTCAAAAACAAGAATGTTTCAAGGATGGGTCTGCGTACGAAAACACGATTGTTTTAATTAAATTGAATTTATTAGGGACATTTGGTGAAAATTAGACAAAAATGCCTATACATACTCTATAGGCAACCCCTAAATCCTGTTAAACAGAAAAAGTCAGTTTTAGGACAACAAATTCCATTGGCTCCACTATTCACATCACTCCTTCTTCGAGTGTTCGGGTTTTGCAATGGAAAAGTCCAATCGAACGTAGATAATAACCGCGATAAAGAGCGAAAACAAGGCAAGAAACAGTAGAATTGGCTCATGCAGTAGCATGTGCGTATTCCAATTGTAGCTGATCTCCACGTCTTGGATGTGCTGCTCCACTAGGTTCTGCTTGGACAGCCTGATTACAGTCCTGTAAAGCAAAATTTATTAATAACTAAACAGTGCCAGTCCGGCGGACTAAACCACGTGCCTTCCAATAGTATCCAGGTACTTGTAGGCGACTTTATCATCTAACCGCTTTACTTCATAGGGCGCCTTCACTTTAATATCCGTTACCCCGACTGGCAGCACAATGTCTGTTTCCAGGTCCTCAACTGCCATATCATCGAAAACATGATCAATCAGGCGCACTTTCAGCAAAAATTCGCCTGAAGGCTTCCGGAACAAGTAGCGGGAACTAGGAACGCTGTAACCTGCAAAAAAAACAACTTCTATAGACCAAACCACATAGACGTTGTGGGATCAATTACCCAAAGTGTACGAGCTGCGCCAACCTCCAAACAACGGAAATCTGGGCTTCAGCTCAACCTCAATGTAATCCTTGTGAGTCCTCACATTAGAGGTGGAAATGTTGCCGTTCATGTCCCTACAAACGCTCGAATTAACCGAAAAATCCAGCTACAAGCTATTGTCATGCTTACCGGTAGTAGATACTGTGCGCCAGCGCTGGTAGAACAGTAACGTAGCTTCTGATGCTGTGATGGTTGGCAACTGTGTCCCTTTGGTAGTCGTATCGGGAGAACGAGCCCTTTAACAGAGCCCCCGTGTGTTTGAGATCAATATTTTCTTCAATTGCAATGTTGCCCCAATGCGATACTTCAATAGTGCGCTGCAATCTGAGAAGCATCAGAAGAAATCAGCTCAGATCTGATCAATGACAGTGCTCGCCATTAGAGTTTAAAAAGACAATTATGGGATGTTTAATAGTGACCGAATCGGATGGAAAATTGAAGAATTTGAGGGGCTTAGAGGCTAGCACTTTTGCCTTTTTTTCTCCCTTCAGAATGGTAGTTTTTGTCTTTCAATCCAATTTTGAACGCTCAAAAACGTTTTACACGCGTACATATACAAGAGACTCAACATTCAGCAGACTTCTCCGGTTATTCTGCTTCTAAGTTTCAAATTGGCGCCCCATAGAGCATCGGCATGCTTAAAAATTGCCAATTTTTGTGGCGCTCAACTTTGGAGCGATTATTTAAGAAACTTTAGATTATCAGTGGTTGAAAAGGGAAAGAAAAAGGAGTTCAGCTGAAAATTTCCATTTTCTTCAATTCCCGGAACAATTAAATGCTTTGAAGAAATAGAAACTTTGGAGTTGGAAAAACCTCCTACTGGTCTGAAAGAAGAAGAAGCTAATAAGCATTTGGGCCTCTAAATGTGCAAATTTCGTTGCTTTTGGGCCTGGGGGCATCATCAAGTCCTCAGTAATTGTTAATAATTTACTGAAGACAGTCAAACATAGGTTTTTGCATATAAACAGTGCATTTTACCTGGAAACTGATAGGAATGGACCATTGTTTTCATAGTGAACGCTTAAAGAATCCCTTGCAAACTGCTCAATATCCGTATAAGGTCCATAGGTGATAGTGGAGTCTGTTTGACTAACAGGCTTCAGTTTCGAGTACTTTTCCACCACTCGAGAGTTTACCTGCAAGCAGCATTTCTACAACTGTTCTTGTTCGTAGCTTGAACTGCGCTTACCAGAACATCGGTTTTTTGCGTTTTCGTCACATAGGGCGAGTAGAAGTAGTAATTTCCCTCATATTTCACCAGCTGTTTCTCCTTCTGCGTGACGCACTTCGGGCAGAATTTCAAACTGTTGGTGAAAAACGATTCGAAGATTATCGTGGTGGTTTTGCCTGGTTCCAAACTTGGCCGCAGATGGACTTTGAATGCAATTCGCTCGGGACCTGCAAAGCACCATAATTAGCCCTACTGGGCAGCGGTTTATTGCCGTTAAACTACCTTGGAATCTCGCTCGGAACTGCTCGATTTTCAGGGGATTCTTCTGCGAGTCCTGTACAGTAATAGAGCTGAAGGAATCAGGATCTTCTATTGCAAGTAAATAAGAGGCAACGCTTCCTTCGCCGGTGTTCTCTATCGTGATAGTGCCGCCGATCTTTACAAGTTGCGAATTCAAATCGATAGTTCTCTGAACGTTCTTATTAATTAAACTGTCATCGATGTGTTCCAGGCCGTTTGCCATGGAAAACACCGCGAAAACCGCCACAAATTTCCACATATTTCAAAGGTTTTTATATTCTGCAAGCAAAAAACCTCTTGAATACAATAAAAGTGGACGTGTACAACGTCACCCACTCGTCAGCTTTATAGGTTAAGCCACAGGGTTAAGCAGCTGTCAGTGTTTTTGGGGTTTCTGATGTTGCCGGTTTGACTGAAAGGCCATAGGGCGTGGTGACGGAAGGCAAAAGCCTTTAGTTAAGAAGGATTTTGCCCAAGATAAAGTTGGAAGTTAAAAATTGGCTTCCTTATAGATAATCAATTGACTAGGAAAATGCCATTTTTGACCAGTTTTTACTTTACTTACTTACTTACTTACAATTTATTTGAATAAAACCAAATTTGGGTCCCACGCAAACCAAAGCTCTCTTTATCAAGACTAAACTGAACCCTTATTTCGCTATCTCCACTGGTTGCTCAGAATGCAGCTTCAGAAGAACATAGCGCAAAAAAAAATTAAAAACGCATCAGAACCTTCTACAGTTTGAAAATTAATTATTAAGCAACTATTTATTTGAATAAAACTACATTTGCATCACACGCAAATAAAAGCTCTCTTTATTCAAAGCGGAAACCCTTATTCCGCTATCTCAGCGGGTTGTACAGAAACCGGCTTCAGAAGAGCATGGCATAAAAAAAATTAAAAAATGCATTAAAACCATCCAAATTTTAAAAATTCATTAAGAAGAAACGTTCAAATGGAACCAAATTCTCGTCCTGTATTAAATAACAATTTAATAACCGAGTGCTAAAACTCTGACTCACATAACTGAACTCAGAACTCAGAAACCTGCTACAGAATAGCATCAGTGAATAAACAAAAAACCGCCCAACGCTTTTGATAGTTTGAAAATTCATTACGAAGGAACCGTATGTTCGAATGAA